AAGCAACTCTCTGGGAAGGGCTTGGAATGAGCGAAGGGGCAGTGTGTGTCTGCACAGGCAACTCCCTACCTGCCCGAATGGGGAAAAAATGGATGCTTCCCTTCCCTTGTGCCCCCAGAGTCTTTTTACTTGCTGTAAATACAGTACTGGGCCTTTATAATTAAAGCCACCTGTCTAGGGGAGGGAGAAGGAACACAGGCCCATGGAAACCCAGCTTAGTGTTTTGCCACTGATCGTTGAAAAAAAGAAATGGGGTGTGTGTGAATTAAGATCCCCCTCTTAGAAAAGCAAAAGAAGTTCACAGCATAGTAGATTAACTCTGTGGAGGGATCGACACAAAGCTATGGGCCTGCTAAGCTGTGGAGAAGTTTGGGGTTCGGGAAGAACGTGAACTCATTGGACCTCCCCTTGGAGAAGCAGCATCTTCCGGAACAGAAGAGCAATTGGAGTAGGGGGTCTGCACCTTGGAAGAATCCACATGTGGATTTTTCCCCCCAGGCAAAATACGGCTTGTTCAGGCATTGGAAGAAACACCACGAAGAATCCTCAGTCATTGTTGGTGGGATACGTGTAGCTTTGTCACACAGTGGGCAGACAAACTGGCTTAATTTACCACTTTGGTACCACTGTAACAATCTGGTGGTGTTTCCACAGAGAAGCCAGAATGAATGTTGGCTGACCTGGAGGATGCTGCTGTCTTCAGTCCCCGGAAGCTGGTGAGCTCTTAAGAGTATTTTCATTCTAACGTTGAAAGGCTGATAAGATGACCTCCCCCCAGTCATGTTTCTTAGGAAATCTGTTGCTTTGGATGCGAAGAAGAGGGGAAGAAGGGCTGCCTTGGTTCCTCCTCCTTATTGAGAAAATCCCAAGAGGCTAGTGGAGAGAGCTGAATGTCATCCAGCAAAAACAAGAGTCAGCCAGAAAAGCCACTTTGGAACCCTTAAGCCAAGTGGGCTCAAAATCCAGCAGACTAGGTCCAGGAAAAAGTGACCTCACAAAGGCAAGAGAGGTTGGACAATGGCAGATGTTGCAAAGATGTTAAGACTAGAGAGTAATTTGAAGCATGTAAAAGCACTGAGTTCTGGCACATAAAAATCTTGGTTCTACAATCTGGATTAATAAAGCCAATTGCAGGAAACCGCTTCAATGTTTGCAGACAGTATTCTGCAGATGTTACAGAAGTATTTTGCATCATTAATCCTGGTTGTGCAGTCACAGTGAAAGTGAAGGAAAGCTACACATTCCAAAGGGCCAGATACAATACCCTTCTGGCTACTGAGTTTTCAGCTAGAATTTTCTACATACAGCAAGCTTTTTAAAAAGCAACTCTAGAACATCAGTGTTGCACCCTGCAGAATATTCTGCACCTGTGCTCCCCTAAAATGGCAGCAGAGGCATTTCCTGCACCCACCTCTGCTCCTATACTTCAGTGCACAGTTGGCAAAATGGGAAACTGGGGTGCATGTCATTCAAAGAGCTAAGAGTTTAGTCCTGCAGGCGAAAGACGCTAAACCAGCCAATTGAATTCTCAAGATTTATTCCACGAATTTACCACATTTATTGCTCGTTTTATCTCTACGGATTTCATCAGCTAGGGAACATGGCACTTTTTGTCTTTGACAGTAAACAGGGCGGCCAGACGTCACTTGCTAAAAACAGCACTGTTTCATTACTGCCCTTTGGGGATTTCTCTTCCACGTGGAGCTTTTATCTCCCGCATACAGAAATTCCATTAGACAAAATTTTCCCCTTAGAAAATGAAGAGAGCCAGGAGGTTGAAATCCCCAGAGAGGGCAGATGTAGGTTCACGAGACAGAAGCTGGGGCCTGTATCTTCCCTTAAAGAATCCAGGCAGGACTTTGTAGTCTTCAGACGTTTATTTCCACAAGAAATTTCATCCTCCAGGTAGCTGAGTTTGGTTTGTCAAAGGGGGGGGTGGGGAGAGAGCGAGAGCGAGAGCACTGTATTCTTGCATTCCTGTGAATTTTCTTTGTGTTTCTCCAGGTGAAAGAAGACTCAAAAAGATGGAGGAAAAATTAATTATTTGTAACTTGGTCAACTAAGCTCTCTGTCAATTCCCAGCTGCCATTCCTCAATGGCTATTATGCCTTTTATTTGTTACAGATGCTTTTATGCCGCTTTAATCAAACAAATCAAATTAGTTTCTAGCAGCTGTATAAACAGTAATACCAACAAAAACAAAGGAGAACAAACGAATGTATTATATCATATACATCATAATAACAGTACTATAAAACAATAATAAGCAGTGACCCAAAACTTCGTAAGAACAAGGACGTGGGTCTCCGTCTGGGGGAAGGGAGTCCGCACAAGGGGCTCCACAAAGGATGCCCGCCTCTGGATGCCTCTCCCTGTGGGGAGTTTATGGGGTACCATCAGGGTCTGTGTTATATACAGCCCACTGGTCAGACAAACAGATAAACACAGACATGTAGTCCTCGTGCAAGGAAGCAAGTTCTGCCTCTGATCCGAGACTTGAGAAACAGCAATCAAAGAGCAGGAAATATAAGAAGCGAATAATCTCAAGCGGCACCAGCAAGAAGAAAGGGAGGAACAGCATGATTAGAGTAACAGGAAAAGAGGTCTGGGATCCTCAGATCTGTGAAGTATCAGAATTCCTTGGAGAAAGGTTGGCATTAAAATGTCCTAAAGTAAATAAAGCAACACTTTCTTTGGTTGTTTCAACTCTACTTCATTGTATCAGAATGTCTTTAGAGAAATGCAGTACAATAGCTACATAAATGCTTCTAAAACAGATACAGAATTAAAATTGGCATCAAACACCAGGGAAGACCCAAGCAGAGACAGGCATCGTTGTAAGCCATCAGTGACCCACTATGGAAAATGCTTCATGTACACTGACAGAAGGACGTTCTGGAGGAGGGAGAGTAGCCCAAGAGAAAAGGAGATTCAAAGGTGCAGGGCACAATGTCCCGCCTGTCAGCCACTCCTTAAAAGAAGCTGCGCCTTTTCCAAGTTTGGTCAATATAAACCCAGGAAAAGACCAGTCTCTGCCTTTGTAAATATTCCTATCTGGGTTACTGTCCTACGATCTTGCTGTGGGGCAGTGCTAGAACTTCCATTGAGGATCCCATTGAAGCACCAGGCCTATGAAGAAAACGAGGGATTTTAGATAACTTGGAGCTGAGTTGCCCAAGGTTTATGCATTTGCATCAAAAACTTGGAGATGGTTGGGAGTTCTGGGAGCTGAAGTCCACACATCTTAAGTTCCCAGGGCTGAGAAACTAAGACCCCCCCCAGTCCGTACGTTCTGTGATTCAAACGTATCCACAAGGGGAGGTCCATGTGAGCACCTTACCAAGATCCAGCTGTGAGGTTATTGATATCCAGAGATATAAATGTGGGCAACCTCACTGTCCCCCCTGCTAACGTGGTGGTGATCCTTTGGTCCATTAGGGATGCCGGCTGGGGATGATGTGTATTGTGATATAACTTCAGGAGGACATCTCTTGAGGAAGGCTGATCTGAAGGGGAGGAGGGAGGCAATGGCAGTACAGACTTTCTGCTGCTGCTTTCTCTCTTTTTTTTAGATCTTTTTTATCCCACCGCTCTTATTTTTATAAATAGCTCAAGGCGGCGAACATGCCAAATTCTCCTCCTTCCCCCTCCTTTCCCTACAACAACAATCCTGTGAGGCGGGCTGGGCTGAGAGAGAGGAACTGCCCCAGAGTCACCCAGCCGGTTTTCATGCTTCAGGCGGGACTTGAACTCACCGTCTCCTGCTTTCTAGCCTGGGGCCTTCCCCACTAGACCCAGCTGGCTCTCATTTTTTTAAAGGTAAAAATAATTAAAGGTTAAACAAAGTTTACCTTTAAACTGGCAATTCGTTGTTTTAAAAGGTTTTTAGGACCTCGCCGCCAAGGTTCGCAAAGGCAGAGAGGCGGCCTACGGAAGGAATTGCTTTCTAAGGAGACGGCCCAGCTCCACGAGGCGTCCTCCCACGAAAGCAGCAGCAGCAGCAGCCCCCCTTGGGCTCAGTTTGTTCCACACCGTTCTTGGACTGGCACGTGCCCTTTCTGCAGGAGCTCCGTGTGGCTTTGGGGGCATGCTCCCCACAACAACCCTGTGAGGCGGGCCAGGGTGCGAGACGGCGCTGCCCCACGCCCCCCAGGGAGCTTCC